ATACATTATGCAACCAAATATCTGCATATCTCAGAAATTAAAAGATGGGAAAAGCATAGAAAAATCTATTTCATAAAATATTAGCTGAAAATTTCCTATATTTAAAGAAAATATAGACATTCAGATCCAGAAAATTCAAAGGATACTGAATAAATACAAGATCATCTCCAAGGCAGAATATAGTCTCAATGTCAAAAGTCAATAATAAAGATAAAATCCTAAAAATGGCTAAAGATAAGTGCTAAGTTATTTATAAAGGATACTACATAAGATTAACCTCAGACTTCTTAGCCAAAACCTTACAGGATATGAGGGAATGGAATGAAATATTCAAAATTCTGAAAAAAAACCCCACATTTTTAGTAAAGAATACTATATTCTGAAAAATTATCCTTCAAATTAGAGGGAAAATAAGATTATTTCAAAACAAAAAAAAATTGAAGGGATTCATCAATACTAGAGAGACTTTTCAAGAAATATTTTAGGGAGTACTACATCTGGACATAAAAGGAAGATAAACATTACCATGAAAACACATCAAGATAAAAAACTCACACTGGTGTTGTAGAACAACAACACAAAGAAAAAGAGAAAACCATTCCTTTCCTACCATGATGGAAACTTCCTAATAACAAAAATAAACAATAACAGAAGAATAAAGGAAATAAGAAAACACAAACAACCAGGAATCAACCAACAAAATAGCAGGAATAAGTCTGTATTTATCAACAGCAGCATTGAATATAAATGAATTAAACTCCCAAGTTAAAAAATATAGACTGGCTGAACGGATTTTAAAAACCAGGAACCCTCTATGAGCTGCTTACAAGAAACATACCTCATAGGTAAAGACACACGCAGACCGACAATGAAAGGTTGGAAAAAGTCAATGCATGCAAATGGAAATCACCACCAACAACAACAACAAAATAGGATTTACTATCCTAATATCAAAACTAAAATCTGTAAAAAGAGAAAAGAAAATTATTACATAGTATTAAAGGTATCAAGTCACCAAGAAGATATAGCAATTATAAATATTTACACATCTAAATTGGAGCACCCAAATACATGAAACAAAGACTTCTAGACTTAAAGGGAGAGATTGACTCTAATATATTAATCGTTGAGGATTTCAATACTCACTCACTATAGTTTGCAGCCCACTTATAAACAATAACAAGTACTGGCAAGGTTGGGGAGAAAAGAGAACTTACATACATTGCTAGTGGGAATGTAAACTAGTATAGTCTTTGTGTAAAACAGTATGGAGCTTTCTCAAAAATCTAGAAATGGAACAACCATATGACTCAGTAATTCTAATTTCGGGAATTCAACCAAAGGACAAGAAGATGACTCTGTAGGAGAGACATTTGCACATCTATGTTTACTGAAGCATTATTCACAATAGCTAAGACATGAAATCAACACAAATGCCCAACAACTGCTGAATGAACTAAGAAAATGTGGCACATATACACGATGGAATACTACTCATTCATAAAGAACAGTATCTTGTCATTTGAAATAGAGTGGATTAATTTAGAAGATAAAATGCTAAGTGAAATAAGTCAGGCTATAAAAAAATAATAGTGTACATCCCTGCTTAACATATACTGAATACCCACACTTTATAACTGAAACTGTAAGACTCAATGGCATGAATAGAAGGAGTAAAGGTTGACACCAGAAGCTGCGTGGGGATGGGGATGGGGAATAGTGAGGTTGTAGGATTCAGAAGAAAATAATTAATAGACATAAAAATCCATGTAAATAACTGGAATATGTTATGGAACAGTATACCACAGAGAGTAAAAAATGTCATTGACAGTTCAATATACATTTTATAAAAACTAGAATTATATCTAATCTGCATAACATAATGTAATGTTTAATGTTGAAGAAGGTGAATATGTTTATATCTGATTTGATTATTGTACACTATATGCATGCTCTGAAAAACCATATTGTACCCCACAAAGGTGTATGATTATATATAAACCAGAATTAACAAAATAAATAAATAACAACATAAAGAAAGTATACATGGGAGAAAAACTATAGGTAGTAAAAAAGAAATCTCATGATGACTCCTAACGCTGTTTGGCAGGGGAAGTAAGACAAAGCTTTGCTGAGTGGAAAACTGAACGATGCTTAGAGACAGCAAGATTTCTTCTGCTTTAAAACTCAAAATGTATGGGGCCGGCAGGTGGTATGGTGGTTCAAAGTGCTGGACTCCCACATGGCTGGCCATGGTTTATGTCCCAGATCTGGCAGCTTGCTTTCTCACTCTCTCTCTCACTCTGTCCCTCTCTGGTCAAATTAAAATACATAAGTCAAGTCAAATAGACTAATTCTCTTTTTCTTTCTTTCTTTGTTTTTGTTTTTTTTTTTTTTTTTTTTTTTTGGGGTTTTTTTTTTTTTTTTTTTTTTTTTTTAGAGGTTTTTGCTACAGGGCACGTGTGCTTGCCAGAAAGTCAAAGAGAGACAGAGAGACAGAAAGCGAGAAATTACCCCCCGGGGGGATGACCAAGCCGCAATCCCTTCTCCTCCATTCATCTCTCAGGATCTTGGGCATGCACCCACATGCGCCCGGTGTGAGTTTAAGCCAGTGGGCCTGGGACTTGAACTACGGTTGACTGCATGGAAGTCCAGCAACATAGCCATTACCCCAACTGCTGGTCCCAAATAGACTAATTCTTAAAAACAAAAACAATGATAAAACAAAACTCAAAATGTAATAGGTTCACAAGGGTGATTCTGGTTTTACAGTCACATCAGTCCTAAAAATCTAAACCTTGAAATATTTAGTCTCAACCTTTTATAGATCCAGTTACCATTTATTTCATGGTAATTTTCATAGGGCCAGATCAAATAAACAAAATCATTAGTTTATTTCAAATGTTTTCAGTGAATTTTAAAAGTGTATTTTGTTTTTCCAAAGATTTCTTTGTCATTGAAAAAGTATTTTTAAAAAAATAGATGAGCTAAGTCCTTGGCAGCTGTAAAAAGATAATTCAATTTTTTTTCATAAATCCATTACTTGTACGTCTAACTATCACGGTTTTGAAATGTGTTGTGTTTAAGCATTTGTAATTCCTATAAAATTGTTTCTCCAAATTGTAGCCAAAGGGGTATAAAAAGTATAATTGCTTTTCTGGACTTTTATCAAATTTAATATCACCTATATAGTGAAATTAGCAATTTAATCTGATAGTCAAAATAAATTAGAAATAAAAATACTGACTAGTTTTATAAATGATAAGTCTTTTGATGGGAGCATAGATCCAATGGAGAACTCACTATCATGCTAGAGTTTGGCTCTATCTTGGCATCTGGCAGACCATTGGGGCAGACCATTGGGTCAAAAGTCTGGGGTGGTGATTGGAACCCTCAGGAATGTGTGGTGTCATAAGCTTAATTTAGGATAAAACCTTAGTCCTTATCAGACAGTGAGCATTTTGAAAACTGAAGGACTATTTTGTTGGTAACCCTGACTCCCTGAATAGATAATTGAGTCTGCAGAAAGAAAAGAATTTTTTTTTTTGAGATCAATTTTTGCTATAGGGCATGTGTGCTTGCAAGAGAGACAGAGAGAGACATAGAGACAGAAAGTGCAAAATCACCCCCCAAGGAGATGGCCATGCTGCAATCCCTTCTCCTCCATTCTTCCCTCGAGATTTTGGGCACACGAGCACACACACTTGGAGTGATTTTTAAGCCACTGGGTCTGGGATTTGAACCAAGTTTGACTATGTGGGAGTCCAGTGATGTAACCATTACACCATCTGCTAGTCCCAAGGAAAGAGAATTTTAGATAAAATAAAGCCATGCGTTTTATTGCAAATATGATAAACAGTTTGGCACTAGGAGCCAGGCAGTCTACTCTGGGGTCTCTCTACCAAGGTGTACTGCCAAAGAGAAAGAATGGCATTGTATTCCATCCTGCCACAGGCGGCAATGTAGAGTAATGTGGAATTAGTAGGCTGTGGACTGATGGATCCTAAAGCTTCATGTATTGAAGTTTGCCATCCCTAGCTGGGCAGCAGAGAGTCCCAAAAAGTGGAATCCAGCCCCGAGATCTCCACTGCAGGAGCCCAAGAGTATGCTGGTTTCTGAGTGATGGAGGAGCATATCACCACACCTGCTGTGACAGAAGCATGGACGGAACAGCAGCACAGGCTCTGGACCGGCCTGGATACCTTGGGGAGGGGGGACGGTAGGATCCCTTGGAGATCCTAAGAGATACTGAGACAGAGAGCACTTTATAGGGAACTGATGCTCAACCTGAGCATGTTGGGGGTTGTGTCAGTGAAATGCGAGCTGAGAGACTCCTAGATCTGTTGCGTTTTTCTTAATGATGACTGAAGACATTTGGATGCACATCAAACAACACTGTACTGTTCTCTGACCTCAAATCTAATGGTTTCTGATAGGTCTGACACCAAAGAAAAACAACAACAACAACAAAAAAGGAGAATATTTTGCATGTGCTAAACTGACCTTTTTCATTCAAATGTTGGAAGAATGAACAGAGGTGTCTTGATTTGATTTAAATGGCATTCACATTTAAGAAGTTATTACACATCTCCTGGTGTACTTCATCTAACAAAAGACATTTCTTGCCTTTGGAAACTTAACGAAGAGGTTTTCTATCTACCACTGAATGTAGGACATATTCCACTAAGTAAACAGAGTAAGCTCTCCATGGCTGGAAGTTGAGTAAGGTGACCAGAAGCACAGGAAACACACTTCTCCAAACCGGAAAATGCAGCATTGGAAGGAAGCCTACAACTCATCGAATGGGTCCAAATACTTCATCTGCCTCTGCCAGCTCAATCCACCTTGGGCATGCTCACGCGTCAACTTGTGGCAAAGCAGAGATTTGAACTTGCCCATGACACACTAGCTCTAGCTTTCTACAAATCATAAATGTCTCATGAAAATACTTTTAAACAACTTCCAAAATGTGTCCCCCAAGCTCAGCCTTGGCACCGTACCTTGAAGTATGCTCTTTATGATCATTTCCGTGTGGTCGGCCAGGAGATCCGCCTTGTTCATGGCAGCCAGGGACAGGTAGTTAGACATGTTCCTGCTCAGTTCCTTGTTGCCCCTGTGGAGGAATTTCACTGCAATGGGGATGGCCAATGCCGTCACAGGGGGCCGGTTGTAATTCTGAGAAAGTATAAGAAAGCAACAAATAATAAATGACATACATACATACAAACATGACTCGATATTCATTCATTCATCCAAAAAACATTTATTGAACTAAGCTCCCAGAGCACAGCTGGAAAAATGCAGGCCCTGTCTTGTTTACCTTTTTTTTTTTTTTTTTTTAAACTCTGGGAATTCTTAGTCTTGTTTGAGTGACTTCCAGGCAACCAGGTAGTGAACAGATAAGCTCATGAGAGCCATGGCAGGCAAAGAGCAAGGTGCTAAGGGAGAGAAGAAACAGCACCTAATCCAGCCCTGGGGGGTGTCAAGAAAGACTTTGGAGGAGGTGATGTCTTAGCTGGGGTCTAATGGATGAAAAGGAGATGGCTAGGTGACAGCAAGACAGAGTGCACAGAAGGAAGAGTGAGACGAAGGCACAGAGGTGAGGGGGTGCTCAGTGCATTTGGGGAGCTGTGACTCATCAGTCCGGCTGGAGTGTGGGATGTGTGGGGAAACTGGGGAGGAGAAAGGGGAGGTCTGCATGGTTATGAAAGTTCTGGCGCACTAAGCTAAGAAGTTTGGAACTGATCTTGAGGGTGATCAGGAATCACTGATGAAATAACTTATCCGATTTATACTTGAGAAAATAACCACAAGAATACTGTACAAGTTGCTTTTTGACTATCTCTTTTTTTTTTTTTTAAAGAGAGATTTTTGCCATAGGGTGTATGTGCTCACTGGAGAGACAGACAGAAAGTGAGAAAGCGCACCCCAGGGGCGATGGCCACACTGTAATCCCTTTTCCTCCATTCTCCTCTTGGAATTTTGGGCATGAACACACATATGCCCAGCATGAGTTTGAAGCCATGGGGTCTGAGACTTGAACCATGGTCAGCCATGTAGGAGTCCAGTAACATAACCATTACACCATCTGCTGGTCCCACTTTCTGACTGTATCATAAAAATGACAGGTTAAGCAAATGAGATTCATAATTTTTTAAAAATGAACATAAGACTAAAAACTAAAGGAATTCTGGATCATTAAATCATTATTTTCTATCTTCCTAAAATAATTTTCTTCTTTATTTAATTTGTGACAGAACATGAAAGTCTTCACATGTAAAATAGTGCTATTAACATTCTGTTACCTGATTTGGGAATACTATTTGGAAATACAAATTGTTTTCTTAAAAACATACTACTGCTGACCACTAACCCCATCCCTTAGACTGACTGTAGGGCAGAAGTCACAGGGTGTGCAATACATTCGGAGACTCTGACCGCATATTATTATAGGTAAAAAGTGGGCTTGTATTTCTCTATCTGTTCACGTGAAAAGTGCTGATCTTCCCATCCATGGATTTCGGCTTACTCTACCTCCCACAGTTCTGGGTTCATGGTAGGCCTTCATTGAACATTTAATGATTAATAAAGAAACTGTAAACCCATTGTGATAGTCGTCACTGGGAACACCACGTGGTGAGAAGGACATCTGATAGGGAAGGAAAACTCCGCAGCCTAATCTCAGCTCTGCTACCCTCTTGTGGGGTGATCATAGAGATGTCATCCAACTCTCTAGGCCTCACTTAGAAAAGTGATTATCCTTTTTTTTCCCTAGTCAAATGGAATTGGATAAAAAGATCCCAAAGAAGATATGGCATCAACTCTTTAGCACAGGAGACTTTATAGACTGCTGAAGGGCCACCGACCTCATAGAGTGGGTAATTATTACCACCTAGACTGAGGTCCACATTTAGGTGATCAGTATTTAGGCTTTTCTGCATCAGACTGACAATACTGAGGGAAAACCTAGAATGATGAACAAGAGAATTATGACAGAAACTACTAAATCATCGGTCCAATAACTATCCACTCCTTTTTTATTCAGTAATACATTTTTCTGAATTTCCAGTAGGACATGCCTACTTGGTGAAGGGCTGTGTTTCTGTGTTTGCAATTGGATGTGGCCGTGTGCAAGGATCTGGCCAATGTAATAGAGATGGCAGTAATGAGTTCAACTTCAAAGTTCTGACTACCATGAAGTGATTTGGCCTCTTATTCCTTTTCTCCCTTTAATTCTGGTTGAAATGAGGATATGGTAACAAGATTCTACCTGTCATCTTAGATCACAAGTTAGAAGCCATGTATTTTTCTTTTTTCTTTTTTTGGGAGAGGTTTTTTGCTATAGGGTGTGTGCGCTCGCCAGACAGAGAGAGACAGAGAGACAGAAAGCGAGAAATCACCCCCCAGGGGGGATGGCCACGCCGCAATCCCTTCTCCTTCATTCTCCCCTCGTGATCTTGGGCACACACGCACACGTGCCTGGCTTGAGTTTTAAGCCACCGTGTCCGGGACGCGAACCGCAGTCGACTACGTGGGAGTCCAGCGACATAGCCATTACGCTAACTGCTGGTCCCGGAAGCCATGTATTTTGTAACAAAGAAAAAGCAAAAGCTTAGGTGTGTGTCACCAGAGAGTTACCATATCAGCTCTGGACTCCTACTTTTGAAGTAGTAGATGAGAGACAAAGTTCTACTCTAACCTTCCCTTATAATTAGACATTAGTTATAGCAGTTGAGCCTAAACCCTGACTAACACAATGTGAAGTCAGGGCCATCTTCATTCTTCTGTTTCTCTGTAGCTTAAAGAGATGGCTAGATCCTTAGATAAAATGAAATGTAGACTTTAACCTTGATACCATAAACCCTCTAAGGACAAAAGAAAGGGTAGGAGGCAAAAATTGTCATTACTTAGGGTGCTTGAGCAATATTATGTCATCTTAGAAATGAGACAGCAGGGTCAACTGGATGTTCATCTAAAAGAAAAATATATATCCCAATCTCTATATTCACCATAACAGAAGTCACTGTAAATAGATGCCCTTCTAAAGGGGAAATTTCTTTTATAATGTGGAGAAGAAAGTAGAGAAAGGGACCAGCAGGTGCTGTGGAGTTTCAGGCAGTGGATCCCACATGGACGACTAAGCAGTTCAAGTCCCAAATCCAGCAGCTTAGAAAATCACATTGAGTGCGTGCTCATATATGCCAAAATCTCAAGAGGAGAAGGGACATGGCCTGTGATGGGGCTGTCCCCCGTGTGTGTGTGTGTGTGGGGGGGGTGTCTCACTTTCCCTCCTCCTTCTCTCTCTGTATGTCTCTATCTGGTGAGCACATACACACAACAGCAAAAACTAAAATTAAAAAAAAAAGGAAAGAAAAATAAAATAAAAAAGAAGTAAAGAAATAGAGAACATCTTGATGGCCTCAAAGTAGGCAAAGATTTTCACAAACCCAACTCATAATGTATTATCAATGAGAGAAAAGAGAAAAACATCCCATTACTGATGGGATGAGCTGGGAGGCCTTCCTGGAACAGTGGTGCTCCCCTCCCCTACCCCAGGGGCTGGCTCTCCCATTTAGAAGTTTGGACTTCACTTGATCAGAGCACACAAAATTGTTTGGATTCATGGGGACTAACTCACACCAAAGAACTTTCCAAAGACTGGAACGTAACCAGGCATGCCTATGCACTTATCCACAGTGAGCAGCTTCTTGGGGTCGGACACCTTTCACATTTTCAGGATGCCAAGGAGCCAGATTAGAAACCAGAATGTTCACTTGTGGGCCACAAAATCAGAACACAGCAAAGAGATCCTGAGGGACATTTCATCTAGGCCACAGCGAAATAATACTTCTGTCCTATAAGTGAATCCTCATCTCTGGAAGTTTCTTTTTATTCTTTTTTTAAAAAGGTTTGCTATAGAGACCAGCAGTTGGCATAATAGCTATGTTGCTGGACTCCCATGTAGTCGACCACAGTTCGAGTCCCAGACCCAGTGTCCTAAACTCACACACACGCATGTGTGTGCGTGTCCAAGATCCTGAGAGGAGAATGGAGGAGAAGGGGTTGTGACGTGGTCACCACTCCCCCCCTCCCTCCCACCCCCCGGGGAGTGATTTCTTGATTTCTGTCTCTCTGTCTCTGTGTCTTCTGGTGAATACACGCACCCTATAACAAAAACCTCTCCAAAAAAAAAAAAAAAAGGGTTTGCTATAGGTCCTGTGTACTTGCTGGAGAGAGATGGGGTGGGGGGATGGACAGGGAGTGAAAAATCATCTCCTCCATTCTCCTTTTGTGATTTTGGGCACACTTGCACACACGCCTGGTATGGTTTTCAAGCTGCTGGTTCCAGGACCAGCACCGCACAGTTGGCCATGTGGGATCCAGGGCCTTAACCACCATACCACTGTCTGGTCCTCTCTGGAACTTTCAATGCAACAGAAACAGTCTTTATTTCTCCTTTTCTTCCAGTAGCATTGGGTAAATATGCCAAAATAATGATTCCACAAACTTCATTTAAACACCAAAGAATTAGCACCAAAGGCTCTCAATCTCCAGAGTTTAGGTAGTTCCTGGGGTAGCAAGAAGCTATGGGCACTGCTGGCAGCAAAAGGATGTGAGTGGGGAGCTGGGAGGCCAAGATAAGGCTGCACACACCAGGGTCCCATGGACCTGACAGGCCAATTGATCTCCATCCAACGGCGGAGCTCCACTTCCAAAGGCAGAGAAAGGAGTTGCTAATGCGGTAGATCTCAGGCCCGCACATTTATTTTATCTTCAGAATTGCTTGGATCACAGAAATGCTAATGGCACGCATGCAGAGACAGCTCTGTGAGTACAGTCCTTCCAACAGAACACTTTAACAGCGACCGATAACGACAGACCTTGCCTCTCAGCGCAGACATGAGTGTGTTGGGATGAGTATCGTCTTACGCAGTCTTGTGCTCAAGGAACAAATGCAGTGAAGTGCAGCACAGACATTGAGACTTGCTCCCGGGGACAGTCAGATCTAGCTGAAGAGGTACCACAAAAGGGCCTTGTTCTCCCGATGCCAAGAATTACAGTTCTTAACTAGATCAGCGCCATTTGAGCTTTGGGGTGAAAAATTTCCTTTGGAAAATGTACTTTTGGGAATGTTTCCCAGTGTTGTATTATCGAGAAGAATAAAGTGAAGTAAA